GGCCATGCTGAGGCCGCGTCCCACATACAGCAACTAGAAGGATGTGCAGCTATGACATACAACTATCTACTGGGGCTTTGGGAGAAAATAAATAAATAAATAAAAAATAAAATTAAAAAAAAAAATCATGTTTTAAAAAGGTTTTTATTGGCATGCGAAAATGCTAATAATATTACCAGAAAAGCAGGATTCAAAACTATAAATCTGTTTTAATTTCAATTTTGTTGCAGTATGTATCTGTGAGATGCGTGAACATTTGCGATATACAATCACGCATCACTTGACGGGGACACATGCTGAGAAATTGCGTCTTAGGTGATTTTGTGGTCGTGTGGACATCATAGAGCATACTCACACAGACCTAGCTGGTACAGTCTCCTACACACCTAGGCTCTATGCTACTGATCTTATGGGACCCCGTCGTATATGCGGTTGGTTGTTGACCAAAATGTCATTGTGCAGCACTTGACTGTATTACACATAGGTACGTTTATGTAATAAAGCAAAATAAGTTATTACTAGGTAGCAGGATTATAGGTAATTTATATTTTCTTTTTTGTGTGTGTGTGAGGAAGGTCAGCCCTGAGCTAACATCCATGCCAATCCTTCTCTTTTTTTTTTTTTGCTGAGGATGACTGGCCCTGAGCTAACATCCGTGCCTATCTTCTGCCACTTTATGTGGGACGCCGCCACAGCACAGCCTGACAAGCAGTGCCTCGGTGTGCGCCCGGGATCTGAACCCAGGCCGCCAGCAGCGGAGTGCGCGCACTTAACTGCTACGCCATGGGGCCGGCCCCTATATTTTCTTTTTTATACATTATGTTGTTTTTGAGATTTTCTACAGTGTACGTGTTCTCCTTTTACGATCTGAAATAATGAACATCTTTAAGTCTTGAATACTTCATGTGCTTTTCCGTGCTTTGTTCTTTTTAGTTAGAGCATATCTGGGCGTGTAGATTTAGCCCATTCTTTTGAGAGTATGGCTTCTCATTCTTGACTTCATCTGGCATTTCTGATTCTTTCAGTGGGATGTTACTGATTGTCTTTTTGCTTTACTCTTCAGACACTTGTTATGTCCTCTCGTTTGCCATCATCATGTTGAACACCAGCCTGCATAACCCCAACGTCAAAGATAAGCCCACCGTGGAGAGGTTCATTGCCATGAATCGAGGCATCAACGATGGGGGAGACCTGCCCGAGGAGCTGCTCCGGGTGAGCATGGCTGTCATTCAGGAGACAGTGAACTTGGGACGGCATCGTTGTTTTAGGAGAGGAAAAAGATGTATGATTCATCCACTGTCTACCCTTATCATTCATTTAATTGTGTGAATTTCATTAAGAAACTGGTAGTGAGGTCCAGCGAAGGAATCTGGAGGGGAAAGCGGTTTATAAATCCTGAAACTAAAGGCTTGAAGGAAAGTCAGGCTGATTTCTTTTCTTTCTTAATTATCATTAGGCATCTTATTTATTTTGTCACTGTGCGCTGCCTGAGGGCAGAAATGGTCATGTTCTTTGCCTAGCGAGGTGTATGGCATACTGTAGGCACACAGTGAATGCTTGTTGAATGAATGAAGAGAAAGGGGAGGGAGAAAAGATATTTCCAGAATCAGAGACATACAGTGTCATCTTTTATCCTAGAATCTGTATGAAAGCATAAAAAACGAACCCTTTAAAATCCCGGAAGATGATGGGAATGACCTCACTCACACTTTCTTCAATCCAGACCGAGAAGGCTGGCTATTGAAACTCGGTAAGTAATGCCCTCTGGGTTAGGGCTCGTAACACAGAAGCTTAGAAAGAAAGGATGTGTGTGCCCACAGCGCACAGACACGGGCTGTGGAAAGATGGGGGTTGGTTACAGGAGGAGCTATGGAGAAACTGTGATATGAATTCATACTGTTACAAGATCCACCTCCAGAAAGGAAGTGAATGCACTGTCAGTGCCCCCATGGGACACTAGAGACTGGTGGGGAGAGACTTCACTCCACATAAATGTTGCCTGGGTGTATTTGCCCTCCACGTTTCCACTCTGGAATTGATTGATCAGGTTTTGTTTTGAGGCAGTTCCCACAGGACCTGATCCTTCTCCCTCCCCTGCCCTCTTAATCACTGGGAGGGTGACCAGCTGTGTCCATCTTTCTACTTCCCATCACACAGATTTGTATCTGGTGCTCCTGCCCCCCACCCCCCCAGTGCATCATCACTTCCTTCTGCATCTGGCTCCCCACAGGCAGTGTGCATGGCAAACCTAGAGCCCTTGGCTGCAGCGCAATCCACAGCACTCTTACTCATTCTCGGGCAGTGGTTTTTGTTTCCCCCCTCCTTTCCAATCCGAATCAGCCACATTAATGATTTTGTTCATTCAGAAAAATAAAAAATTATTCCTCTTCCCTCTGCCAAAAGTGAGCTAGTATGGCTGAGATTTGTGGTCATGCCTTGCCATGAAGCTGATAAAGTAACCAAAAGGAAAAGGATAGTGGGGTTTTCCTATATATTCATGTCCACACGGGATTATTTCATTAATTTTTTCAGAACACAGAGCCCCTGGACATAATGATGTCTGTTTTATGGCCAGTGAAAGAGTACTTTTCTCTGTTTTCTTCTGCCGTGGCCTTTTGATGTGTGGGCTCCCACATTACCAGGAGGTCTTCGTTGGAATGATCCTCTTCTACCATTTCAGCTGCTTGTCCCGTGAGATTAGAAGTCATCACTCTCTGGCCATTACTGACACCTCTGGTAGCACTGAAATGGAATCTTTAATTTCTGACCAGTTCAGATAGCAGCAGGATTTATATTTCCTTGAAAAGCATATCCCAAGTCCTTGTGTTTATACATAATGACTTAATTCATAAATTCTCCTTAAAGCACCACTTCACTGATTGGAGTTTTAAATATCTCTTAAATTAATCAACACTTCATCTATCTTTAAGCTAGTAGAATCTTTGAAGTTAAGGCTCTAAGATTACTAACCCCAAAGGCAGCCATTCTGCTCTGCGTGTTTATCGCCAAGCAGATAGAGTTAAAAGGAAACCTACTGGAAATTTAAAAGTGCTTCCAAGTTTGGATTTACTTGCCCCTCCAGCGAAATTTGTTTAAATGCTAGTGCTAAGTGTTAGCTTTGACAGCCCAGATACTAAAATTAGAACAGTACAAAGATTATCTTGGTTCTTGCACCAGGATGACATGCACATTCATGAGGCATCCCATATTTTTAAAAAGAAAAAATTTAACTAAATGTGGGACTCATTTTTAGGTTATAATATGACTTTTTCTAAACCTCCACCAAACCCTCCTAAACCCTTCATATTGTGTTTTCATTGTAGCGCACTTAGACCCACCCCATTGTATTTATGTGCTGCAGAAGGCAGGGTTCCCCTCTGTAGCTGTGTGTACATGTCTGTGTATGCGTACAGCCGTAAGAGTGTGTATTCATTCTTGTGTATACACATATGTACGTATATATTCATGGGTTTGTGTGTGTGCATTCTTACACACACTTTAGAAAGTGATAGCCATCTGAAGAAAAACATTTAATTTCCCCCAAAGTAGTCTTCACTCTCTTTGATCTGGATTCTGGATATACTAACAAATGTTAGCGTGGTGAGAACTGATCTGTGGCATCTTTGGGGCCAGGTTCTCTGTCGTGCCTCAGATCTGGCTTTACCAGGTGGGAGGTGACAGGTGAGACAAGCCCCTCCTCACCTGCAGACAGTGGCGGTTGCCCTGGTAGTGTTTTTATGTCCCCCTGTTCCCCCCAGGCAGACACGAATGACAGTGCACTTTAAGATTAAGGAGTCGGGTTTAATTTCTTTGTTTTAATTTTCTTTTCTCCCTCATTTGTATGTTTCCATGATTTTGGCTCTCCTTTTCCTTGCCCCAAACTCCAGGAGGTATGTAATCCCCTCAACCTGCTCGCTCGCTCTGCCCAGGCCACTGTAATTGCTGCAGCGTTTTCTTATTTTGTTATTTTTGGTTATTTTGTTTTTTAATTGCTGGTGGTAGTGTTAATGCTGCTTCTAACTTATCGTACAGTCCCTAGGGAACTGGTCAGGATCAGGGGTTTGGAGCAATTTTCATGGTTTCCCTTTTAGCAGTAGTACATAGTGCATCAGACTGCTGGTACCAAGTGTGGAGTAATTTAAACTTTACTGAATGTGGTAATGCAAGAAAACATACTAAGAGTGGGTTTATAAAAGCAGAGAAAGTATTCACTGAATTTTCTCTTGGAATTTTTAGCCAGGCATAAGCTGTATTTGATGAATTCAGATTGACACCCGAGAATTAAAGTAATTTCTAAAGTGGAGAAGAGGAGGAAGAGAAGGAAGTTTTGTCTTTCCAAAGCCATATGCTTCTGATAGACCACGATGGGAAAGCAAACTAGGAAAAGAATTAAATGAGACAATTTAGGACATTTGCCTTTGCATGAAAAAGGGAAATGGTGTTTCCTAAACTGAAAATGATGCTGAGTAAAGTTTTTGAAAAAACGACAAAAACCAAAAACCCCTCCTCCAAGTCTTTTTATTTGATTTCCTGGGTATTAGGGGAGGGCATTACAACCTCGGCTCTGTTTTTTATGTTTTGTTTTGTTTTTCTCCCTCCTCTTTTTCAATGAGTCATATTTAAAAACCCAAAATTGGCCTCTTAGTTATGTCATTGGGAGCCACTCTCCATTTGCTGATTTGGGGGAAATATGTTTTTCCTAGATGAGGCTCTCCTCAGGTGTCTGCTTCAGCATTACTTGAGCAGAGCTACATGTAAAAAGAATGACCCAAACGTTGACGTTTATTCAAACGTTTTGGGGACTTGTCAGGGAGTTCCCCACTCGAGGGGCAGATGGTGTCTGGCCTTCACATCTAAGAGGTCAGGAACCGTGAGTGTGGGAGGTGGTCCGTGAGTTCCACAGGGACTGTCCTAGGTGCGCGCATTGATCTGTCTGCTTGTTTCATGTCTGCTTTTCTTTCTACACGGGAATATTCCCCTGGGACCGCAATGATGCTTCGTGCTCGAGGTCTCTGTAGTGCAGCAGATCGTCAGGGGAGATAACCAAGCTTTTCTAATCAGGGAGAGGATTTCTCCAGCTTTGCTTTCTCACCTAGATTTCTTTCCATCTTCTTCTTTTGGCATCTGACCCCTCTTCCATGACCCCTGAGCCCCGAGTGCCCCCGGGTGGGCCTGTGAGGGGAGCGCGTGGTAGTCATCGTGGGTTGAGGTGTCCTTGTGTGCTGAGCCCTACGTGGGAATGAAGGCCCCAGAGGGGGAAGAGCTGATTTCTCAGCTCTGGAACGGGGAGGAGTTCCTTCTTATAACAAATTGGCTCCGATTCTAAATATATTCCTTGTCTTCTTTCTCCTCCTCATTTATTTTGATCCTGCCCAGGCTTTCCTGTTTCCCACATGCATGCCATATTTTCATCCATTTTTTTTTCTTAATTCGTGCCCCAGGGCCTTTCGGGGCCAGAGGCACACGCTCATATAAACTGACAAACTGCTGTGGGGGAGAGTCAGCCTTTGCTTGACTGGCACAGGGTGGGCGGGCGGGCAGCACGTGCTTGCTTACGGCAAACCTCCTTTCATAACCCAGGGCTGTGCCATTTAGAACCTTGGCAATTAATGATCCATCACTTAATCCCTCCGAGGTTTCGGGCACCCAAGCAGAGCCATAAAAGGGGCCAGAAAGTCCGATAGTTTTTAGACTAGCTGCCAGGACCTGTGCTGGAACCTTTATTTCCATAACATTATTTGCATTACTCCAGCGATCATATTCTTTTAGAAAACCTGGTGTGAGCACGTAGGCATGCCCTGGCAGCTGGAAATAGTCCCTTTAAAGCTGCCTGTGATGAGGGACAAGAGAGAAAGCGTGACTGGGGTCACACTGGATTTACACCCCACTGTCCTTGCTTTTTATAAAGACTGGAGAAGTGAGGGCCGGCCCCGTGGCTTAGCAGTTAAGTGCTCGCGCTCAGCTGCCGGCGGCCCGGGTTCAGATCCCGGGTGCGCACCGATGCACTGCTCCTCTGGCCATGCTGAGGCCGTGTCCCACATACAGCAACTGGAAGGATGTGCAGCTATGACAGACAACTATCTACTGGGACTTTGGGGGAAAAATAAATAAATAAAATCTTTAAAAAAAAAAAAAAAAAAAAAGACTGGAGAAGTGATATTTTCTTAAGTTAAATCTTAGCAGAAAGAGCATTTACTGTCCAGGGCAATAAGCAGTGTTTATAAAATGCCATGCACATCTCAACACGTGAAAGCCTTTGGATAACTTTTGTATGGTTCGTGTTCAGAAAGCTTTCCCTTGACTCGGTGTACGTAGGGGAAGAGAAAGGTGTGGTTCATGGTCATGACTGAGAGCAGGACGTGGCTTCATTCAAACAGGTCACAGGCAAGTTTTCCCCTTCCTTAGTGTCAGTCTGTCTCAGCATAACTTCATGACCCTGGCGTTTTTTTAATTGAGAAGGACTGAGGGAAGCCTTCCCGGCTCACAGACCCCACTCTCACTGCTCATTTGGTCGTGGCCCCTCTCCCAGCTATATTTGTTACCAGCTTCTGGTTAGAAGTCCAGAACTGAAAAATCTCCTGAGTGGGACTCTGCTCACCAGTGGATTCTTCCCTGATACAGGGATTCCGCTTTGTCTCACCCAGGATGCTGTGGAGATTTTATTTTTAGGACACTGGCCCAGAAGCCTAAAAGCCAGTGTAGAAATTCACTGCAATCAGGGAGGTGGGGTAGAGGGGACACCAGGGAATTTGAGTTCCATGTTCCAGGAAACTGTGGGTTTGATTGTGAAGAGATTAAAATGCCTTACTTCCTGTTTCCTCCTTCCTGCCTCTTCTGATGAAGCAGCTCCGTGCGTGCCCCGGGGCTGGTTGACCTGGCAGTGTAGCTTGGACCAGGGGGCTGACCCTCTCCCCTCTTCTTTTTTATTTGCCCATTTCCACCACGCTTCTCTGGCCCCCATCAGATTTGCATTGCGAGTCATCATCACCCGGGTTTCCCCCCCCAAACCCATGCTCTCATCCTGCTGTCCTGATTTCATCTCCAGGGTGCCACTTGACTTGCTTGCTCTGCTTGTACCCACAGACTTTCACTCCGTGAAAGGTGCTTCTGTTTTGGCTCTGTGTCTTGTTACTGATGTCAGTTTGGCCACCGTCTCCATGTATCCCTGGTGCCCTGCCCCTCACGTCCTCCCGCACCCTCTGAGAGCAGAGCTCTGTGTGTTACGGAGCCCGCGCTGGCCTGGTAGACTCCTGTTGAACATACATCTCTTTTTGCTCTGCAGGTGGCAGGGTAAAGACTTGGAAAAGGCGCTGGTTCATTCTGACTGATAACTGCCTTTACTACTTTGAATATACGACGGTGAGTGCCGATTGGTCGGCCAGGACAAGGGGTGGGCCAGGCCTCTAAACAACTCTGATCAAACATGTTTGGAGGAGGCAGTGGGGAGACAGTCGGATTTGTCCTTTGACATCTTTAGGAGTGGGAGGAGAGTGGAAGTGAAGTGGAAGAACTGAGACAAATCTCAGAATTGGGAACCCTGAAGATGATGCGAGTGTCTTGCCAGAGGAAGATGCTGGCTCAGAGCCAACGTCCAGTTCTAGATTGGGACTAGAGACGCCTAGCCAGGAGAAAGTGGTAGAGAGAACGTTATGCATGCCATTAGAAATGGGTTTTAGAGCCAGGCTGGAAAGAATGAACTTGGATCAGTTGCCAAGAAAGAGTTTGTGGTCCTATTGCAAAGGAGATGAAGATAATCGTGACTTGGAGGATTCAGATTTTCTGGGGTAGCAGAAATGCTGAAGCATTTGATTCAGAAGAAACAGCCAAGGGGGAAAATATATGATAGAGGAAAAGGAAGTGAAATGAAATGGGAAAAGTTAGAGATTATCTGGAGTTTTAAGAAATTGAAGTTTTCTTAAACCGTGGAAGTTTTCTTGGTTTTTATTCAGAAGGAATGAAGTTACAACTGCAAGTGTGTGTTACATGTAAGTTTCTTTTGTAATAAGAGCCTATGAGAATAGAAATTATTAAAGAACCCCTTTTCCAAAGCTCCCTCTAACAGAGCACCCAGAAGGCCTGGGGGGTCAGTGGCCGGCACGTAGACAGGCTTACCACCCTGGGACTCGATGCTCTGTTATTTGTGCCATTCTTCTCGGTCACCTGAGAGCACAGTGGTTGTATAGCCGGCAGCACTGGACTTGTGTCTTGAAAGAAATCTAAGCGACTGCGTTGGGATGCTTTAACTTTTGTTCTCCAACCAGGTCTTCACTGAGTGAAAGTCACTGATCTTATGAGAAAATGAATATTTAGAAGTGTCTTTTATAGTTACTGTAGAGCAAGGCGGTACTTAAATAAAACGTGAAAGCTGTGGCCGTATTTGTGTCAAACTTGGTGGGAACTGGGACACAGGTATGTGCTCTGGCACTGTGCTGCTTAGCAGTGAAATGGGTTTCTGTTGTGTTCAACACTTCGGGTTCTTCATCACTGTGGACGTCGTATAGATGTAGCTTCTCCCATAGGCAACGAGATTCCTAATGGTATCCACTTGTAATTCAGTCACTTGTCCTCAAAGTGTACTGTTTATTATGACATTCAGTCATTTTCAAGGGAGTTCTGACCAGCATTTTGTGTGTTATGGGGCTAAATTCACGCTGCGTGAAGTCTGCAGCTGGCTTTGCTTTTCTGTAGTTAAAAACTTTACACATATGAGAGTAATATATTTCAAATACACAAAACAATGAAAAGGTAAGTTCTTCCTGTTTCACCCCGCAAAGTCCCACTGTGAACAGCTTGGTAAATTTCCTTCTGTTTTTGTCTCCTCACTGCCACCCCATGTTTTACCTTTTTTCTTGAAGATATCTAGACTGATGACATCTTTAAGATCGAGTTTGGGTTTTTTTTCACTGTTCTCTGGGTTAAAATGAAACATATGCAGGCATCTAAGCAATAATACCCTTAAGTGCTGGGACAGTCTCAGTAGTAGCGCAGTGAGATTCTAGAATCTTGTGGTTCTTCTTGATGCTGACCGTGGTGGCATCACCTGAATTCAGTTCAGCAGCGTGCCTGCACTTTATTAGGCAGTGGAACTACAGAGAGTACGTTTCTTAAGACGTAGAGCAGGAACCCTCAAGGTTAAGATGATGGGTGGAAACTTCCACACAGAATTACCTAACAAACAGGAAAATCTGGTAGAAATAAGTGCGGGAAATAGCAGCTGAATAAGGAAAGGGGCAGAACTAGTTCAATAACTTCAGCACCAGGCGGCCAGGATGGAGGCGGCAGTTGGAGCCCAGTGGAAGGGCCCTTCACCGCGCAGCCCTGCAGCACTGCCCCAGTGCCCTGCGTCTGAGAGAAGCTAACTGGGGAGGAATTCTTCCCTTTTTCCTCTCCTGGTCGAGGAGCAGTGAAGTCTGCTGCTGTGTAGAAATGGGTGAAATGGGAAAGTGAAAAAACAGGACTCACTTTCTGCAACCCAGGCAGAGGCTCCAGACTGCTGGGAAAACTGTCCCCAGAGGGTGTGCCTGTGAGCATCACATCCCTCCCCAATAGAAGGAACAAGCCTGACATTGGATATTAACAGGCCCAGAGGAGAGTCGGAGCTCAGGGAGTGTCTGAGGTGAGCTCTCTCCCTCTACCCTCCATTCTCACGTGAGACTGGGGAAGTGGCTGCAAGATACCAGCCCTCTGGAAGTTTCAGACCCAAAACAAATGAGAACCAAAACTATGTATCTAGAATATAACCACGTAGTTGTAGAATTATAACTTATTTATTAACAAATAAGTTAAAACTTTAAGGAGTGGAAGAGATTAGCCAAAAATGTAATCACATTCACAGAGGAAAGGCTGAGAGAGTTAGAGATTTTATCTGAAAGAGAGAAGTATAAAAACAATTAGAGAAAAGCTCACAGATGTGGGGGACAGATAAAGAGGATCCCAACACCAGAATAATTGGTACCTGTAAATTCAAAGATATGCTGTGTTACGAGGTTATTTCCCTGAAAAGGAGAAGAAACCTGACCCTGCGAATTGAGAGTGTGCAGGAATTTCAGGAACGTTTGTTGTAGGAAGCTTGGCACCAAGGGTTAGCCCAGGTAAACTGCTGGACTTGGAACAGAGTTTCCATGGTTTCATGGCCATTGATTGGCTGGACATCAGGGAGAGGGAGGCATGAAGGCTGGCGTCAGACATCTGGCAGGTGTGGAAGTGCGTGGGATAGTGGCCTTCACTGACACGGGAGGCTCCGGAGCCAGTTGGGGGTGAGGGGATGGTACGGATGGGGTGTTGGCTCTATGCTGGACATGAGTTTAGATGCCTTCTTAGATCCAGGTGGCGTTGTCAGGCAGGCAGTTTCTGTTTGAGGATCCTACACTCTGGCGAGGGGGAAGATAGAGCAGGAGATAATGAAGAGGTAATGACATGCGACCCTGCTGTAGTCCCAGGCGTCACTGGCATAGAGCTGGGCACCTAGGGCAACACGAGGGCTTTCTAGGGTTGCTGACACTGGGACTGAGGCTTAAACGATGAGTAGGGGAGCCAGGCAAAGAGGCAGAGTAGTTTTGTACGTGAAAGGGGCTCACATGTTCCCTCCTTGAGGACCCCTCACGGACTCCTCCACACACATTCTTTCAGGGCCTCTTTTACCTCCCTGGGCTTTCTCTTTGCAAAGGCCTTTTGGTTATAGGGACTCATGTGTTATAGTGACAAAACGTATAGTTTCTTGACCCTATTCTTGTTTTAGAACATAAGGTATGGGCCCTAGAGCTGGTTTGTGAACTTATGTCCTGGGAGAAGGGAGAAGGCAGGAGAGCTGGGGTGAGGGGTATAACAGGATGCGTGTTCTCAAACCGAGCAACGACGTCTTTCTCTTTGCAACTCTTCTGTAGGATAAGGAGCCCCGTGGAATTATCCCTTTAGAGAATCTGAGTATCCGGGAGGTGGAGGATTCCAAAAAACCAGTGAGTATTTTGGTGAGATATTTTGGGGGAACAAAAGGAAGGGGCATAGCAGTTCTTTGAACAAGAATGAAATTGCAAAGGTTTACTTAAAAAGAAAAACAACTGAGATGTACTCTCATGCCTTTAATTTAACCTAACTTTTTAAATTATCTTTAGTGTTTAAGCCCAAAATGAGATTCTAAATAACCTCTTTCATTCCATCCCTCTGCTTTAGTGTCACTTACGGGGTATGGAATTGTCCTGCTTTACAAGGAAGCAGTAAGCACTCGTGATTGGGCTACTGATTCTACGACCTTTGGATACCTTAGAAATATTTGTCCTTTGTTTTGGAATAGCATGATATTGCTGGCTTGGCTGCAAAGGCATTAAGTAACCTACGGTTCTCTCCATATTTTCTGTGTATTAGGAGTAGAGCTAACATATATTTGGTTGATATCTTTGCTAATAAGTCCTATTTAAACACAGTTTACATTCTCCAGAATTCCACTTTTAGGGTCCTCCTTTTCGTAGGAAAATATATATTGCCTGTATTTTATGAAGGTCAGAATAAAGAGTCTTTTGGGAAATAAATTAACATTTTTTCTTGGTCAGCAGCTTTCTCAGATCTTTGTCACTCTCTCCCTCTCTTTTTTGATTATCAGAACTGCTTTGAGCTTTATATCCCTGACAACAAAGACCAAGTAATTAAGGCCTGTAAGACCGAGGCTGACGGGCGCGTGGTGGAGGGGAACCACACTGTCTATCGGATTTCAGCCCCTACACCTGAGGAGAAGGAGGAGTGGATGAAATGCATCAAGTAGGTGGCCCCTGAAACATGGGAGATCTGCTCTGACCTGGCGATGACTTGCTCCTCTCTCAAATATCGATTGTGCCAGCTGTTAAGCGTACGACTCGTTCCTCTTCTATGCTTTTCATGTTAAATGTTCAGGGAATATTTTGATTGTGATTCCCAGATTACTTTTCAGTGGATCTTTGGATTCTTGACCATTAGAGCATTTTTAAGAGAGTGCCTCAAATCTGCATTTCCCAGTGCACCTCATAGATCCAAGGAGGGAACGGGATCTTTCCCTTTCTCATAAGCCACATTATGGGCACAGGTGCCGTTTGCTGAACTGGTCTTCTCATGCCTTTGGAGAAGGTCTCATTTTCGTGGTGGCAGCTCAGTGAAGATAGTAATCATAGCATTTTATAATTTCTTTATCTTGCGAGACACTGGTGTCCCATTTACAGAGGAGGAAACTGAGGCCCATAGAGGTTCAGTAATTTGCCCAAAGTCACATGGCTGTGATCCAGGGTCATGAAATAGAGCCCTCGCTCACCACTGTGCTGTGAAGAAGCCGAGGGTCTGGGAGAAGGGGAGAGATTTCTCAGGATTTCGCAGGTGTAAAGGGAGCTGCAGATCCAGGGCTCGTCTCCTGGTTCCCGCTCTGCCTGCTTTACCAAGAGGCATAGTGTGCGCTCTGTTGCGGGGTGGAGGTGTCCTGATGTGGCGACTCTTCCTCCTCATTCCTCCCCAGGACTTCTGTGAAGCCTGCCCAGGCCATCACGCCCCCCATCTGCGTCGTCACCGCTCATCTCTGTGGCACTTCCTCCTGAGAGCACGTCCTCGCTCTCCCCACCAGGCACTTCGTCCATCAGATGTTACCCAACTGTTTCCTTAGAGAGTCTCCCCTGGAGACCAGGGAGGCCACACTGACCGGGCAACCCGAGGCGCCGCAAGTGCTTGCATTGTCCCATGTTGGGGGCATTCTCCCACCCAGGCCATAGCCTGCTCCTGGGGCGTTGAGTATTCTCTAGTTTTTGTTTTGTTTTTTGATATCTCTAGTAAAACCACTGTAGTGTTGGAGCCAGGGTTAGCTAGTGAATAAATGACTGAAGGTGGAGATGATGAGGTGATGGGGAAAGGGGCAGACCATTTATTCCCACAAAAATAATCTCTGAAAGTCATGCAATGAAAAGAGACAGGAACCAGATGGGAGAGCATGGGTTCAGAGTCAGGATCCCCTGTGCTGAGTTCTCGCTCTGAATCGAGGGATGTTGGCCTGCCTTCCTCCCAGAGCCTCAGGTTTCTCAGAGCACGGCGGGGAATGGTGGGGGCTTGGGGACGTTGCCTGCCCCTCTGTGGGATGGAGGTAACCCCTAACCCACAGGGCTGTTTGAGGGTGAAGTGAGATCGTGCAATGGGCATGTTCACTTGCCGCCCAGACTCTGTTGGCTCCCTGGCTGACAGCCATTCTTGGAAGTGTAGCATTGGCAGGTGCCCCATCTATCCTTCATTCGGTGCATGAGGCGCTCAGTGTTTCTGGAGTTGTTATCAGAAACATCAGAGGCACTCTCTGCCCGACACTGGCCCTGAGGTCTGGGCAGGGGAGCAGCAGTGCTGGGGGACCCGTGCTGGGGAGTGTGCATCATCCTTGTGTCCTGTACCTTTTTCTACCGTATGTTTTTTAAAGTATTTAACTCTTGAATCCTTATGAAATTTATTTTTTGCCTATGGTTTGAAGTAAAGGATGGAACTTTATTCCCCCAAGTGAATAGCAGATTGTGCTTATACTGTTTATTGATTAATCCATTTCCCCCACCAACCTGAAGTACTCTCTTTAGTTTGTACCACATTCCTGCTGTGCGTGGGACGCTGTGGCTGCATCGTGTCTTCCTGCGGGAGTGCTGTGCGGCTATAACCGCTGGAGCGTCAGAGCGTGTTCTGATGTGTGGTGTGCAGAGCCTCCTCCGCTCGTTGTTCTTTCAGAAAGGTTTTATCTGCTCTTGTATGTTTTGTCTTCCATATAGTCTGTACTTGTAGCCAGAAAAACTAAGCATTCTTTAAAGTCACATTTGGAATCGTTCAGTCCTGTAGTTGAGGTGAGTGCAGAGCCCTCCTGTGGGGTGGCTCGGTTCCTGTGGTCTGCCCCAGAGCTGGCCTCCTCTCCATTGCAGGGTTTGCAGGTACCGGTCAGGTGCTGTACAGCACTGTCTCCTTGATCCTCGCCATACCCCTGTGAAGGACAGGAACAGCAGGATGGTTATGCCCATTTTACAGAAGAGGACACTGAGGCACAGCAAGCTGAATTAAATTGTCCAAACCACAGAGGTGGTGCTGCTTTTCAGACCTGAGCATCTGAGTCAAGAAGCTGCACTCCTAACCACCCTGCAGGGCTCAGCTCCAGCCATTCTTGCTCTAGACTCTTCTTCCCATGAAGAGTTTGGAGGCAAAAGGCGCAGGAAAAGGGATCTGATTGAGTGGAAGCATCTTCACAATATCACTGGAAAGATTTTGCAGAACGTCAAGTCAAGTGCAGGACATGTCTTTCTCTCATTAGTGCTCTTCCTAGGAGTTGCCAGCCACCCACTTCCTTGTGTCACTGGCACGTGATTGTCACAGGCTTCTGGTTCAGCCAAATCAAGTCTCTGTGCAGACAGAGAGCTGAAGCCTCACAGTAACAGCGACCGTGGATCAAGAGCTGTCACTTGCCAGGTGCTGAGATGTGCACTCAGTACATGTATCTCTTCTCAGCTTCCAAGGACCTGGGGGGCGGATATCTCCAGTTAACCTGTGAGGATGGGAGTTAAGAATGAGCATGCCGTGTATGCGGAGCTGGGGTTGAAGCCCTGATTCCTAGAGACTGTCTGTCTGATTCCAGCCCAGTGCTCTTCACTGTTTCCTGGGACCACGTTCACGTGGACTGGAAATGTCACGGCATCTGTCAGGGGGCTGGCCCGCCCTAGAAGCAGAAGTGGATTCACTCTAATGCCCCCAAAGATGCAAGCAGGTACTTTACCTGGTGGGATTCCCTCATAACCACTCTGAGCGGTCAGACCCTTCGTGGCGAGGTCCCCTCAGGACGTGTTCTGGTTACTGACCAGTTCTAGCTTCCCCAAGGAGCTGTGCAGACGTTTCTCATGGACATATCATCTCTGATGAATAGGCCCAGTCAGCTCTCAGGAGCTGTCATTTACCTGGTTAAGTGCGGAGCCAGCAGTCACTGGGCTTGTGAGCGAGCGTGGAAACCGGGCAGCACTTAGAGTACTGCTCCTCGGGAAAAGCAAACTACACTTCCAAACTTGTTTTTTTTAAAAATAATTTTATTTATTTATTTATTTTTCCCCCAAAGCCCCAGTAGATAGTTGTATGTCATAGCTGCACATCCTTCTAGTTGCTGTATGTGGGACGCGGCCTCAGCATGGCCAGAGAAACAGTACGTCGGTGCGCGCCCGGGATCCGAACCCGGGCCACCAGCATCAGAACGTGCACACTTAACCACTAAGCCACGGGGCCGGCCCCAACTTCCAAACTTTTGGATCACAACTTGCTTGCAAGTTGGGAATGACAAATATAAAGGGACAGCCAGCGGTTGAGGCCTGCTGTCACTCTCCTGTGCTGGTCTCTCGGGCCAGTGCAAGGGTGTGCCTAGGCTCCCTTCCAACCAGGCTGTGAACATAGAGCAGGCCTGGCTGGCCGTTCACGGGGGCCCCAGCAACAGCACTGACTGCCCAGTTAGGGGTCTTAGTTATTAAGCTTGTGCGCATGGGGACTCAGAAGGTGCACGGTACAGACCATGGCCGCCATCTAAACACACCATGCTCCAGATGCTTCCGTGTGACACAGTGCGTTGTGTGGTGCTCACTGTTCCAGACAAGTGCCAGCTGTCATCGTGGGACTAAAGTGCTGTGTTTGTTTTTCTGAGTTAAGAGTACAACTAAACTTACATTGATTATTAGGTTGAAACAGGCAATAAACACCCCAAAATTATCTTGTCACATGTGTCTCTCTCGAAGCTTGTCCCTTAAGCCGTCGTGTGGACATGGTGAAGGTTGATGCCACTGACTTGGCCTTTACAGTGACAGTTGAGTGGGGCAGGGGGCCTGGAGCACAGGTGCCACTGGGAAGCCCTTGTCTGGGATTGTCTCGTCTGGTCCTATTCCTCAGTCCGTTCTGTTTTCTCTCCTTTTCTGTGTTCCAGAGCAGCCATCAGCAGGGACCCTTTCTATGAGATGCTAGCAGCGCGGAAGAAGAAGGTCTCCTCTACGAAAAGACACTGAGTCTGCGCAGCTAGTGGAGTTGGTGTGCAAGGCGTGTGAAGGCCCAGGTTCTTACTCAGGTCCCTCCCACAGACAGGAGCAGGCTGCTCAGCAGGAGCGTCGTCTTGCTAGGCATGGCTCCGATTCCTAGAGACTAGCTTCAGCTTTGGCTATTTTTTTTTTAAGTGGGAGAAGGGTAGGCAGTTACCACTGGGGAGGAGTGACCTGATGCCTGTCAAGCATGGTTTTGAGCCTATCTCTCTAGAAAGAGCAGAGCTCCTATCAGCAAAGCAGCCTCCTTGCAAGTCTCTCCGCTCAGCAGGTCTGATAGCAGAGCTCGGAGCTGACTGTTTACCTTTTGGTTATTTCCCTATGAAGACACCTTCAACCCTGCACCATAAATACATGTATTGCTATATTATTCTATGTTAAGAAAAAAGGTGGACTGGAAGAAGCCACGTACTATAAAGATATATTTTTGTTTTTTAGAAAAAGAAAAAGATAAGGTAGACCTGTTCAGATGCATTCTGCCCGGTCTGGTTTGGGAGGCTTCTCCTGGAGAAGCAGCTCCCTGGGCCTCTGCTAGGGAGTGTCAGCCGTGGGCCTGGGGCCGGGCAGGCCCACCTCTCCTGCATGTCTGGAAGCTGGGGGAGTGAGCAGAAGGGGTGGAGAGAGGGCAGGGAGGCAGCAGACACTCGAAGACTCAGGACTTGGCAGAGTCAGACTCGGGGATCTGCGGTGCTGCGGCTGCTCCAGCTGATGCTTTTCCGTTCCAAGTGCCTGGGGAGCCCTGAGGGGAGGAGAGAACCTCCTGGACACTTAACATTGTTTTTCTTTTTCGGAATTCATTCTTCTTGGGCTTTAAAATAGAAAGTCAGCATTTTTCCTTGAGCTAAATACCTAATAACCAAAACTGTGAGGAAGGTAATCCCAGCAGAGGTTCCGGGATGACCTATTTCTTATTTGGTTTTTCTTCCTCCTCCCCCAAAACTCCACTCCTCGTTTTAGAGGATGGAGTAGGTCTTACCTGATCACCCTAGGGCTTCAGCTTTTTCTGCCTCAAAACTGGCCCTTAACTGGACCACTCTCGATGCATTTGTGGTGGGCCCACTAGAGGGGGAAGTCGGCCTTTACCTGCTGAGCAGGGGCAGCTGGAACGAGAGGGTGAGAAGGCCAGCCTCTCATATCGCTTTTTTTCCCCCACAAGACGTGTGTGAGTTGGCCTTGCCCCTCCTAATTTATGGTGTGAAGGGAGCCATGAAATGCAGCGTTCTCCTGCCGTTCTCTCAGGGACTCTCAGGGGCAGCTCCTGCCACTCATCCAGGGCCCGGCGTGCCAGTCCAGGCAGAGCAGGGGGCTGGCTGGGCCATCTTGGCGCGCCCTCTTCAAATTGCCCAGGACCAGGCAGTGCAGATCGCTGCTTCACAGAAGAAGGCAGAGGCGTTGGTCTCCCCCAGGCAGTGTGACCCCGGCTTTTCTGACACCTTTAGGGTGGGCTCGCATTTCTGGAAATAGCTTTTGTAAAAGGGAGTGGTGGGAGGAGTATTGGGGGGACTTTCTGGGGTCCCTGCTTCGTGTAGGTCTTACTTGGAATGGCTTCAGGCATGTTTATGCCGGAGCTCATGAGGGTGATGGAAGAGGGTCCAGGCTGGAAACCTGAACTTGCTGGGCAGAGAACCAGTGTGGTGCCAGCCGAACTCCAGGTGGTCTTGGGCCGTGCTGGAGCCCCTCCGGCTGGCCGACTCCCTGGCACTGGTTCTCATGAATATTACCTAGACAGAGAGGCACCTGGATCAGTATTAGTCTATTTATCAGAGGTGTAAATAATCCATGTATAGTTTTTCTCCTTTTAGATTATTTTGTATTTGTTTAAAAAAAGTTTTGTCAAAATATAAAATATAAAGAAATGACTGAAAGTTGTTGACAGGGTTTTTAAAAATTATAATTATTATTACAATTGTTTTTTGTTTGTTTTTTTTGTTTTTTTTTGCATTGTAAACTAGCGCCAAGGAGCCGCAGCAAATAAACTCCAAATCTGCCCAAACCACCGTTGTTGTCTGTGGCATTCTCTTGTACCATGGGTTGGGCTCTGAGTAGGAAGGTCATGTTCGTCAGATGTGCTCATGCAGGAGGATGTATCACTTTAACCTCTCGTCTTAAGCCTAGTGATAATATAAATTGGAAGTGGGGAGGAGGGTTCTGTCTTCTATTAATGATAACAGAGCAAAAAAGACAATTAACTTAGTCATTAATCCCTTTTTTACAGAAGAAACAAATGTCAAATGTCCAACTTTAAGATCAAGAAATGTGCCTTCAGCTGATATAATACATTTTCAGTATTGGTTTCCAGATGTGCCTACGTAATGCCAGGGAGGAGTCACAGTGAGGTAGAACTCAAAAGCAGAGAAGATACTCAGTGTGGCATCACAGAATAAGGAGAGGCAGACTAGTCCTGGCCTTGCCCCCTCAGCTGGTGGTCCTTTCACCAGCTGGTCTGAGTTGTCTTTGCTGTCAACAGAAGCAAGCTCCCATCTTTGCTTTTTTCTTCAAACTCCCAGCCCTACCCCTTTTGTCCCCCTGATAGCCTCTCCACTTTGCTGAGAAGAGAGACCATTAGATGGGAAGGACAGCTTTCCTCCCTTCTGATGCCAAAGTTAACCCCATTGTTCCTTTTTTGTTTCCTCCCATCTCTGGAAGAAGTGACCTTCCCTCTGCCTACCTCCCCTGGATCTCTGTTGATTATCCCCTCTCTTGTGCATATCTCCAAATCTCCTTCCCCACTGATTCCTTTTGCTCAAACTACAAAAATGTCCAAGTCTCTCATTTGAAAAACAACTCTCTAAGCTCAGGAACAAGAAAAGGATGTCTGCCCTTGCGACTTGTGTTGAGCATTGTACTGAAGGTCTAGCCAGGGCGATCAGGCAAGAAAAAGAAATAAACAACATCCAGATAGGAAATGAAGAAGTAAAACTAACGTTATTTGCAGATAGCATTATCTTCTATATAGAAAATCCTAAGGCATCTACAAAAAACCTATTAGAGCTAATAAATGAATTCAGAGTTGCACGGTGTAAGATAAATATACAAAAATCAATTTTTTCAATAGACTAGCAATGAACAACCCAAAAACGAAATTAAGAAAACAGTTTCATTTGTAATCATATCAGAAAGAATAAAATAACACTTGTATATGCACCCAACACAGGAACACCAAAGTACATAAAGCAACTATTAACAAACCTAAAAGGAGGTATTAACAGCAATACAATAGTAGTAGGGGACCTTACCACCCCACTTACATCAATGGATAGATCATCCAGACAGAAAGTAAACAAGGGAATAGTAGAATTAAATGGAAAACTAGACCAGATGGACTTAATAGATATATGTAGAACACCCAAAAACAGCAGAATACACATTCTTCTCGAGTGCACATGGAACATTCTCAAAGATAGACCATATCTTGGGAAACAAGGCAAGCCTCAATAAGAAGATTGGAATCATATCAAGCATCTGTTTCAACGATAATGCTATGAAACTAGAAATCAACTGCAAGAAAAAAGCTGGAAAAGTGACAAGTACACATTTACACTAAACAACATGCTACTGAACAACCAATAGATCATTGAAGAAATTAAAGAAGAAATAAAAAAATATGTGGAGACAAATGAAAATACACCATACGAATTCATATAGGATGCAGCAAAAGCAGTCCTAAGAGGGAAATTCATAGAAATACAGGCCCACCTTAAAAAACAAGAAAAATCTCAAATAAGCAATCTTAAACTGCACCTAACAGAACAGAACAAAAGAAGAACAAACAAAGCCCAAAGTCAGCAGAAGGAGAGAAATAATAAAAATTAGAGCAGAAATAAATGAAACCCAAAAAACAGTAGAAAGGATCAATGAAACTAAGAGCTGGTTCTTTGAGAAGATAAACAAGATTGACAAACCCTTAGCCAGACTCACTAAGAAAAAAAGAGAGAAGATTCAAATAAAATTAGAAATGAAAGAGAAGAAATTACAGTGGATACCACAGAAATACAAAGGATTATAAGAGAATACTATGAAAAACTATATGCCAACAAATGGACAATGTAGAAAAAATGGATAAATTCTGAGACTCATACAACTTTCTAAAACTGAATCAAGAATAGAGAATCTGAATAGACCAATCACAAGTAAAGAGATGAAACAGTAATCAAAAACCTCCCCCAAAATAAAATTCCAGGACCAGATGGCTTCTCTGGAGAAGTCTACTAAACATTCAAAGAAGATTTAATACCTGTCCTTCTCAAACTATTCCAAAAAATTGAAGAGGAGGGGACACTTCCTAACACACTTTACGAGGCCATCGTCACCCTTATCCCAAAGCCAGACAAGTACAACACGAGAAAATTACAGGCCAATATCACTGATGAACGTAGATGCAAAAATCCTTAACAAAATATTGGCAAACTGAATACAGCAATACGTTAAAGGATCACACCCCATGATCAAGTGGGATTTATACCAGGGACACAGGGATGGTTCAGCATCCGCAAATCAATCAACGTGATATACCACATTAACAAAATGAGGAATAAAAACCCCATGGTTATCTTAGTAGATGCTGAGAAAGCATTTGACAAGATCCAACACCCATTTATAAAAACTGTGAATAAAATGAGTATAGTAGAAAAGTACCTCAACATAATAAAGGCCATATATGACAAACCCATAGCCAACATCCTACTCAATGGGGAAAAACTGAAAGCCATCCCTCTGAGAACAGGAACAAGACAAGGGTGCCCACTCCTTCCACTCTTATTCAACACAGTACTGGAGGTTCTGGCCAGAGCAATTAGGCAAGAAAAAAGAAGAAAAGGAATCCAAATAGGGAATGAAGAAGTGAAACTCTTGCTGTTTGCAGATGACACGATGTTATATATAGAAAACCCTAAAGAATCCGTCGGAAACTATTACAAATAACCAACAACTACAGCAAAGTTGCAGGGTACAACAAATCATATATCCAACAAGAGGTTAATTTCCAAAATATGTAAAGAACTCACACAACTCAACAACAACAAAAAAACCTGGTCAAAAAATGGGCAGAGGATATGAACAGACATTTTTCCAAAGAAGATATACAGATGGCCAACAGGCACATGAAAAGATGTTCAGTATCACTAATCATCAGGGAAATGCAAATCAAAACTACGAGATATCACCTTACACTCATTAGAATGGCTATAATCACCGAGACAAAAAATGTTGGAGAGGATGTGGAGAAAACGGAACCGTCATAAGCTGCTGGTGGGAATGCACACTGGTGCAGCCACTATGGAAAATAGTATGGACATTACTCACAAAATTAAAAATAGAAATATCATACAACCCAGCTATCCTACTACTAGGTATTTATCCAAAAAACTTGAAGTCAACAATACAGAGAGACTTATGTATCCCTATGTTCATTGCAGCATTATTCACAATAGCCAAAATGTGGAAGCAACCCAAGTGCCCATTGATGGATCAATAGTTAAAGAAGATGTGGTGTATATATATAATGGAATATTACTCAGCCATAAAAAAGAAAAAACCGTCCCATTTGCAACAACATGGATGGATCTTGAGGCTTTTGTGTTAAGTGAAATAAGCCAGACATAGAAAGACAAACACTGTATGATTTCACTCATTTGTGGAAGATAAACTAACACATGGACAGAGAACAGATTAGTGGTTACCAGGGGGGAAGGGGGTTGACGGGTGGGCATAGGGGTAAAGGGGCACATTTATATGGTGACTGACAGATGTACAACTGAAATTTCACAATGTTAAAAACTATTATGACCTCGATAAAATACTTAGGAATAAATTTTAAAGTGCCAGATAAACACAGGAAACTACAAAACATAGTTGAAAGAAATTAAAGAAGACCTAATAAATGGAAAGATACAGTATTCATGGATTGGGAGACTTAGTGTTAAGATGACAGTACTCCCTAAATTGATCTACAGACTCAACACAGTCCTTATCAAAATCCCAGCTAGCTTTTTTGCAGAAATGGAAAAGCCTATCCTAAAATCCGTATGGAAATGTAAGGGACCAAGAACAGCCAAAA